CATTGTATTAAAGGTTTTACTTTGATTTCATTTTACTAAAAGAAAGTAGTGAGTTCCAGCATTTATATTTCTTTACTTATCAAATAAAATAATTCTATTAACGTCTGTAATCCGCCGTTATATAAATTACTTTAACAAACAGGGACAAAGTAGAAGCTTTTGTAGCCATTTGAATCATGCTACTTTATAGTTGCTGTTTTCCACTTCAGTTAGCATTTATCAATAGTGAAAATATAAACCGAAACATAAATTCTAAGGTGAAATTTTCTCGTTGCTCTCATTTAGCGTTTCCAGATTTATTTACAATCTAAACGGGATTATTTACAACTGATAAGATTTATAAGAGCGGAACATAATGATAATTAACGACACCGTGGCGTAGCTTAGCATTAAGTTGTAGCGCCGAGGATCGCTAGTTCGAATCCTGCACGGAACAAGTATTTGTATGGCCTACTAGTAAGTGTTCCGAGCCTGGATGTTTATTCTTGTGCAATTTGTGTTTGTAAACTGTCTCCATGATACAGAAGAAAATCCTAGCGTGGGGATAACGTTTATAAAAGTGAAAAAAAAAGAAAAGTAAGTACATTATTATCCGCGCGTGAATTGCTACGCTCTAGTGACTTAAGCCCCATTTACATTCAGCCACTGCCACTGCTCCTCGCGCTGCCGGCAATACTTCCCTAAATACTGCCGTAGCAGGATCGCGGGAAGTGTGTATTCACACTCTGCCCTACCACTCACATCGCTTTCGGCTTTCGACTATGGCGGACGTCGAAATAATTACAGCGTCCGCGCTGTGTCTTCTTGCAATACAAAATTATGTTAATAATTTAAAAAGATATCAAGTTCAAAAGAAGATAGATAGATAGATAAAAAATTTATTTGCTTAAAAACATGGTACATAAGATGATCAATGACGTGGAACTGACATGTTTTGCCATAAATGGCATGGAAAAATGATATGAAATACAGCTAATTACACAAACCCGATGTTGCTTAAAAGTTAGGTACACACATTCTTTTTTGAATTCAAATATTATGTACAATTAAATACTTATACAGATCCACTCTATTTGAATTCTTATACAGTAAATTGTTCATAAATTATTAATTGAATTATTATATTATTGTTACATAAATAATATTAAATATTATATGAGATTAGTTAAGCTATTCTTATTTTATTAATTACACTTCAGTATAAACTAATTCGTAATTTTAATTACAATAAAATTATAATTTAAAAATCTCAGGCTATTATGCAAATATTACCTTTTAACTTATTTTACATTTTAATTAATAAATAATCAATATGAGTTACTAATCGTTTTTAGAAATAAAATGTCAATGTTCATTAATTCCTTAAACTAAATTTTATATTAATATAATAAATTTGACGAATTTATAATTAATTATGTACATAGGTACTATGTTAACTCAAAAAAGAAAATTCGTATTCGTAGAAGATGATGAATTGTGGTTTTTATCGTTGAAATCCCATATAGTTTTTTCTGATTCCAGCAGTTCTAAAAACTTTATTGTATTTTCATTAATCCACTCGAAAGGCATTTTGGTAGATCGTATTTATTTAATAACAGGACGGCACGCACTTCCGTTCATCCAGGCGCTTGTCGCGAAGTGAGCGATGGAGCTGAATGTGAACACACACTGCCGCTCGCGCTGCCCGTCCTTTGACTTCCGCACGAAAAACCGACATTTCGGGCAGTGGCGGCGGCAGCGGCAGTGTCAGCGCGAGTAGCCTGTTCACATACTGCCCTGCCCACTGCCCTGCTCACTTCCCTGCCCAAACGGGCTGAATGTAAATGGGGCATTACGATGAATGAGATTAAGGCCGTCTTGTGTGTAAGGATGTCTATGTAGGTATGACAATGGTACCTTAATTCCCACAACCCGTGGGGTAATCGCTAGCGTTCGTAATATAAGACGTTTTTCGTAACACAAAAAATAAAAACAATTTTGTAAAATATGTTCTCAAAGTAACTTAGAAATAATAAGCCTTTTCATTTGATATAACAATATATATATAATATTTGATATACACGGTTTTATTTTGGAGCCCGTTACAGCCTATTAAAGTCCACTGTTGGACATAGGCCTCCCCTATACTTCACCTCACAGGGGAATGCCAACTTGCGGTGGCAACTATGCCACAGTATGCTTTTAGTCATTATTATGAAGACGCTGCTGCCCATCTCCTGATTTGTTTCCCATTGTCGCCTCCTACGACACCCACGGGACGATAATGGAGTAGTGCCTAATCTTTTACCTCATCTACACGGTACTATACTATGTTATTTCTAAGGTTTAATTAAGTAGCGACTAAGTCGTCACCTTACATTAATAATTATAAATTATAGGAATTCGCATTTCTGTATTAAGGCAGAACTTGTATGTTCAATTTTACAGAATTATTTTGTTTTGAGCAATAATTACATTTTAGGGGGAGTTGGGGGAATTGGGAGTCACTTAAGGAAAACTCGTTATTATAAACACTAATAATCAGTCTTATAATTTGTTCACATTTACTTATCTTTAAAAATTATTCAGGTATCGAGTTACTTAGGTATTTTGGTTATCATTACCATAAACATAATTATAATTGAAAAACCAAAAAGTCATTTTGGCTCCTATTACTCACATGTAAGGGGAATGAAAGTCAGTCTATGAGGGAATAAGAGTCAAAATTATGAAACAAAAAAAAGTAACAAAACTCTTTAAACAAACAAATAAGAATTAACAAAATCAAAAGTTAGAAATGGTTACCCCATGGAATTATAACAAAGAATGGAATATAAATCGAGTTAAATGCAAAAATCACAGCGATAGCGATTTGGATCATCACATCCTGTACATGCCTCATGAGCCCATCCAGCACAGAGACGGCAACGGTACCAGATTTCTCTCAGTATTCCCTCTTCGAGGCATATCGTGCACACAGACTGATCACGCTCTTTCTGAGTGTTTTTCTGGATGTTTAGCGGGATTTCAATATTTTCTAAGTCACTATCAGCACTCTCGTCATACGGAACCTATTCATCAGCCGATTTTTCAGATGAACTTGACTTAAATAAGTTCTTTTTAACTTCTTTTATCCTCTTAATTACTTTGCCTCTTGTATGCAGTAAGAATTCCTGATTGATGTGTTTTTTTTCCTATGCCTTTACCTTTATCAATGCTAGGCAGAGGTATTAGTTGTGAAAGTACGCTAGCTAGAGGTTCACTGTCGGATTTATTGTTCTCTTGATTTATAATATCATTTGGTTTATAATTTATAATATCAACACTTGTAGAAGGTTGCGGTCCTATAACGTTCCTACTGCTAGTTGATGCTGTTGCTTCTGAAATTTTTTTTAGTTGAATGGTTATCTGAAACTTCATTAACTCTTAAATCTGTTATGGTGGCAGAAATATTTTAAACACAGAGAACATCAGAGGATTTAGTCACTTCGGTTTTATTAAATCCTGCAATTCTCTGTATAATTACAGCTTCAGGATTTCGAATGCTTATTCGTAGATTTTTCTTAAGAAATCCTTGGATCCAGTCCCTGCCAGCCATTTTAGCATCTCTATTAAATTTATGAGATATCTTTAAATTTTCAGCACATTGAAATGTTATTTTTCTTAGTTAATATGTCGTTAAACCAACAAACAACTTAATTGTGAAACACTTTCCGTAAGTATATTTTCTTGCTCTTCGTTAAAAAACGGCATGCCTTCCTAATTTTAGAGGTTTAAATTTATCTTTCTTTATCCTTATTTGTCATGTGTTGAAAGGAATACGAGTTTCCTCGGCAACTTTGCGCATTCCCGCCTTGTCTCATGCATACAGCAGCTGACTGCAAGTCGTCTACAGTCCAACTCGCTTTAAAAGTCTTTCTAATCCAGTTCCTTGACGTCTGAAATGAACAAAAATGTTTATTTATAATGAAAAACGATGCGGGGAATGGGGGTCAACTAACTCTCATTACCCCAAGGACGGTTTGTTTGCTAGATTTGAATTATTAAATAAAAACACCAAAAAAATCTAATAAATTGCAATTATAAACATAAGTTTAGTCTTAGTACTATACTTTAAGATTATTTTATATGCAAAAGTAACAAATATAGATACTCACGTTTTCGATCGAAATTTCTAAAATTTTACAACGGCTCCTCCTCTATGACACATGTGTTGTTCCTGATGACGCGAGCGTGAGTGGCGACCCGGCGTATTGGCCAGTGCGGGAGGGTGCGGAGCTACACCCCATGCGACAGAGCTGTATTCTGTAAAGCTTTAGGTTCAATTCATTTTGAACTGACCCGCATTGCCCACTGACTACCATTCCCCCTGGCTCCCCCTAATAGATAGGTAAACAGAGGCGCCAAAAAGTAAAATGTTTTAAAACATCGCCTTAAAATTAAAATAGCGTCATGTTCCAAAAAGGGGCGCCTGATTTTCGCACAGTATACAGGAAAGTGGTCTTGAATAGGTTGGGAAACATCGCCATCTATTATTGATAAAGCGAGATGATTTTCCAACCTACCACCAGATAACTAAACGCTGGATACTATGATTAACGTTATAGAGCAACGCTCCATCTATATTATGGCTGCAGAACGAAAGGGAATTAACTCTTACAATTAAGTAATATCCTCTATACTTAATTTCGGTCATGGCGGCTATTCTCCGTTGTGACAAGATTATAGTGTAAAGATGTTCCGGTAGGACGGCAATCCAACACGACTGAAGATAGATCAGGCGCAGGACCAACTGCTTAAAGTAGCTTGGGGGTGAAACATCCCCAAATTCGTAAGTTCGGGCCGCTACTTAAAAAATGCTTGACAATAAAACCTAACTACTGGTTATATCTTAACCAGAGATTGAAACTCGGGACCACATGAGCAGGGGTCTCACTAATGACCATCACACAATCGAGGCAGTCGTGTCTCAATATACCAGCCATAAAATAGCAGTATAATGTGTTTAGCTTGTTAGTATTTCCTATATTAATGACTAGAACCGAAAACATTGGCTGCGTTTGGCAGATAAAAGCGCTAGCAAGCGCTTGTAAGCAAAATAGCGATCGTAAGCGGTAAGCGCTGTCAAATCGTAAGTAGCTATTTTCCTCTAGGACACGAAGTTAGTTTTAACCGAGAACCTAACCTAATTTAAATATATGTTTGTAAAGTATTCATATTAAAAACTTACCAATCATGAATTTTTTAATAACATGTATAATATGTTTATTCATGTCGTTATATTACTTAAAACTAATATTGCACAAAACAACTTATAAACTCTACTTTAAAACAAACAAATTAAATAAGCAAAATGGCGGATTGTGTCAGCGCTTCTGAAGTTAGCAAACGTGTCCTGGCCGAAAACTGTTTAGTTTCGCCATTTTACTTACAAGCGCTTGCTAGCGCTTTTTTCTGTCAAACGCAGCCGTTGTTTATTATAATTATGAGGCATTACACTTTGACCTGATGGTCGACAGTGCATTTGTACTTTGATTCTTATTGATGTGTTTATTAATTATATAACTTTTTCGTTTAATTGGTTTATATTGAGTTGTGTAAAACTGTTATTAATCACTGGTTAAAACTACTTTCACGGATTTTATCGCGTTTAATTTAAATAATTTTTAATTTCTAACGTTTCTGGTGCTTTCCAGCACCCATGGTCACGGGGGACTGACGTCCCGATGTCAATGTTAACCTGGAGTACCTTCAGCCACAGAATAAATAATACTACCACGTACAGAAATTACACTCCTTTGACATTGACTGCTTGCCGATGTTTTATAGCCTACATTATTATTATTAATTGGATAAATCACGCACGCAAGCTAAATTAAAATTTACCCATAATAACTTTATCGAGTGTCCTTTTTAGTTTGCATCTTTTCCCATTCCTGAGGTAAGGCGGACTTACCGTGGTTACTAAGAGCTTTCAAAAAATACATTGCGAAATGTTAATTAAGTTACTTGGGTAGGTACCTATTCTGACTATGATCGAATGACCATATTTTCGCACCTATGTGAGTTCTGCGATGACCAATGCATGCAACTTATAAGGCCATTCGTCGGTAATCGCTATGCTTGACTCGGAAGAAATAGGCTGATAGTGTAAACAACAAATAAACCTGAAATACGATTCCTGACAGAAATGTGATCGTACTATAGTTAAAAATCTTATTAGTAAACAAAGTTTTAATTTCCGTATTTTGTGTTATTATAAGTTAAAATTTTTTAATTACAAAATACAAGTACTTATAATGATTTCTTAAATTTACGCGAACACTACACATTGTACTTATAGTTAACCAATCGAATGTCGGGGTCATTTTGGCCAATATGGCGCATCTGTCGAGCACTTTCCGAAGTACTAAGTAAGTATATGTACTAAGTAAGTATATTAAAATGATATATCAATGGACACGTTATTAAATAAACTATCAGATTATGTATGCGTAGGTATATGAATGTGGAAGAGGCGAGAAAGGTATGTCAGGATCGTGCTAAATGGAAGTCTGGAGTCTCTGCCTACCCCTCTCGGTTACAGGCGTGAGTGTTTATGTTTTTTATGTTTTTTATCAGATTATGCATAACAGATGTATATGTTATATATATGTATATTATATATATCATATATATGTTACAAATAGTTTGCTATCACTCGACGTCATATTATGGCGTTTGATAGATGCGCATATTATTTGAGACACCAGAATATGGCGTTTGGACAGACGAGGGGTTAAGTGAATACTTGGATATTGAAGTAAATTTCAACTAAGTTTTGTAGTAATAAAGGACTTGGGTATTATTTATGTAGATAAACTATTAGGTACTTAATTCTTATCGCCATAAGTACCTATATAACGAAAAAATATGAAATAAATTCACCTTTTATAACTTTCCACTAATATATTTCGGTAACTTAAAGAATGATATTATCCGAAGCCTTTTGTAATTTAGCATGCATCCACGCAACAACTATAGTAGGAATGACGTTTTGACATTATCATTTATCAAATAGGAAAAAAATACATAATGTATATATATATAATTTTTAATTTACATTAAAACTTTTTCAACTACCCTATCCTACAATTAAATATACTAAACAATAACTATTTAAATAATTTATAAAAGTCTATTCACACAAACAGCGTTAAAAACTTTATACCTATAACGCGCTAGCCCCGACTGCGTATGTTACCCTGGCCCTGGGTGCGTCGCGATTGTAGGTAATTATTTCACGCAGGTAGCAAGAGTGAGGATGGCTGCTTCAGCTTTCTAATTACTATTTATGGTTCGATTTACGCAGAATGAAATTAGTGTATTTTGAGGTCCTGTAGTAGTATGCTTGGGTTTAGTTTTAATTTTAAGTGCATTGTTTGTAGGGTCTGTTTTCACTTTTCTGTATGTATTTTCATCCGACAAAAGTAGTTGTATTTTAAAATTATTATCAACGTATCCATTATAATTTATAACCGAAGTATTACCTTTATCTGCGCCGAGCATCGAGCATCTCGAGCTCTGGTCAGTTGCGTATGTTTTATAACGCGTTAAATTTATTTTTGGGAAGATTTAATTTCGGCGCTGAACTTCGGCGTAACATAGATGAAATATCAAAACATTACGTATGGCCTCTGAATCTTCAATACCGATACTATTTTTATACTACAAGGTGCAGGAATGTACAAGCTTGTGAATGTGGTCTCATATGTAGAGCAAACAAAAAGATCTACTAAGAACTCGCATAAAAACGCATATAACTGAAGTGTAGCATCAACTTTCTGGGAAGTCCGCAGTTTGTAATCATATCCTAGGTAGCCGCCGCCATTAAATCAGATTTGAGATGCCATAAATCCTCGCGAAAGAACATTTCAAAGAAGGATGATACGTGAAGCTATTGAAATCAAAAAAAAGAGAAGGAGGCCGAGTTAGTATCCACCTGGGTACTAACCCAGCCTCAGTTGGACCCAGGTGGACTACCACCTGCTAACTAACTCAGCAATTAGTTAGCAGGTGGTAGTCCACCTGCTTGGGATCCTGTAATTAATAAAATTAAATCTAAACCGAAGCATACAACTGCAAGACTTCAAGACACATTATGTTCATTTTGCGTAGATTGGACCATAAATAATAATTAAAAAAGCTGAAGGTACTCCTGGCTAACACTGACATCGGGACGTCAGATCATGGGTGCTGGAAAGTAACCGAAACATCGGGAATTAAAACTCATATGAATTAAACGCTATAAAATCCGCAAAAGTAGTTTTAATCAATGTGTAGTATTTGCGTAAATACAAAAAATCATTCTGTTATTATTTAATAGAACGGGTATTAAAACTTATTATTTAAATTGCCTGTAAAGACCATTTCACGAAATC